GACATAATGAGGGCCGACTCAGGAGGAGACGGAAGCACAGACTGAGACGGACGAGGTGGACTAGAACAAAGTAAGGCAGTACGAAGGTCAGTGAAGGGAACAGGAGACGAGGGACGAGCACGAGGGGAGCGACGGGTAGCCCAAGAACGAGACGGAGGAGAAGAGGACAAGGGCGGAGAACTGGGGAAAACAGCGGGGGAGGAGTCAGGAGGAGGGGCGGAGGAGGGAGGAGAAGGGGAGGGGAGACCAAGGGTCCGAAGACCCGAGACAGGAGGAGGAAGTGGCTGCTGCTGCTGCTGCTGCTCCTCCTCCAGCCGCCGCTGCTGCTGCTGCTGCTGCTGCTGCTGCTGCCGCTGTAACTCCCTCTCCTCTCTCTCCAACGCCAGCTGCTCGTCACGGGCACGGCGAACACGAGCCTGGTGCCTAGTCGGGTAGGGTTGGGGGGGCGGAGTAGTGTCCGAAGCAGCGGCAGCTCCAGAGTCCACCCCCGAAGAACCAGGCACACCACCCCCAGAGGAAGCACTAACACCAGCTCCAGACCCAGGCTCACCAGAACTCGAAGGAGGCGCACCCTCAGTGTCCGCGCGGCCAGCACCAGCTCCCGGACGACAAGAGTCCTCTGCACCCACCGGGTCAGCTCCAACTCCAGAACCAGAAACTCCAGCTCCAACCCCAGCTCCAACTCCAGCACCCCCAGAACCAGAAACTCCAATGCCAACTCCAGCTCCAACTCCAGCTCCAACTCCAGCACCCCCAGAACCAGAAACCGGTACAGGAACAGGCGCAGCACCAACCTCTCGAGAGCTAGCACCAGCGGCACGCTGCGAGGAGGACTGTGGGGAGGGAGGCTGTACCGGAGGGGCTACCGAAGGAGGAGGGGTAGCCTGGGACACACCTGACGGGGCTGGACCAGGGGGGGGAGGCTGTACCGGGGGATCAGGAGGGGGGGCTGCAGTCAGGAAGAGGGGGGGAGGAGGAACCGGGAGACCTCGACTGGGGTACCTGACGTAGTACGGAGTGGACTCCTCGAAACGGACGTCACGGGAGTCAAAGAACCGGTGAGAGGGAGGGTGGTAAAAGGTGAAGTCAGAGGAGTCCTCAGGGAAACCAAGGAAGACACAGGGGACGGCACGAGGCGAGAGCTTGTCCGCGGAGGTGTCGCGGACAAGAGCCAAGCACCCCCAGACGCGAAACCGCGACGCAACACCAGGGGACCCTGTCCAAAGACTGGTCGGTGAAACCTCTGGTCGAGAGACACGTGGCCAGAGGTTCAGCTGGTGCGCGGCGTACCTGACCGCGTAGGGCCACAGAAAATGGGGGGCACAGGCGTGAGTCAGGGAGGTGCGGGCGATCTCCATGACCAGGCCTATGCGGCGCTCAGCAACCCCATTCTGCTGTGGGGACTCTGGAAGCGTCCAGGACTGACGAATGCCCTGCTCGCGACAGATTCCAGCGAGAATGCCGGAGCGAAACACACCCCCACGGTCGGAGTGGAGACAGCTGACACGACGACCACGAGTGTCCTCGGTGGTGAGCAACCACCTGATCAGCGTAGAAGTCACCTCAGACTTCTTCGCCAGAGGGAACACTGTGGTGTAGCGGGAGAAGTCGTCAACGACCACCAGAAAGTAACGCTCACGCTCAGGGCCTAGACGAGGGGCGGGGCCCCAGACGTCCAAGTGAAGCGTCTCAAAAGGCTCGGTGGCCGGACGAAGGGAGGAGGAGTGAGGGGTGGCGCGCAGCCTACCCTCGACGCAGGGACGACACGGCGGCGCAGGTGAAGGCGGCAGCGACGGCAAGACACGTGGGAGGCCTAGGACAAGACGCTGACTAGACATAGCGCGCAGACGAGGAAGGGACGGGTGCCCCATCCGGTGGTGCCACAGAACGGTGGGGTGGGCAAGCGACCGGCAGGAGCACGACGCAGCGACTGGAACAGACGTAGGAACCTGACACGACACAGACACCTGGGGGGACGAAGCAACCTGGTGAGACGCGGGGACCCGAACGGGGGGGGGAACCGGGGGCAGTGGCAGTAGGGGGGGCTGCTGGTGCGGTCGCTGGTGCTGCAGCTGCTGCTGCTGCTGCGGCTGCGGCTGCTGCTGCTGCGGCTGCTGCTGCGGCGCACGCGGGCTAGTGTGAAGAGTGTAGAGACCCGAGCCCGGCTCAGCAGTAAAGGTAGCAAGAGGCTGGTAAGAGTCTCCGTCAATACACACCGCAGTCTCTCCAGAAGGCTCAAACCACACGCCCACGTGCTGACTCACGAGGGGTCGCACGCCCACCAAGTTCCGGGAGAACGAGGGGACGTGAAACCCAGTGAGAGACCCGGAGGGAGCAGCAGGACACGGTAAAGTGGTAGTGTGACGTGCAGTGACTGGTCCCGTAGTGGGATCAGCCAACGCTACAGAAACAGGCGCAGGAATTGGTGTAAGTGTCGTGCTGTCCCGGAAGAAGCAGTGGGAGGCTCCAGAGTCCAGTGTGAACGACAGCGAAGCGTCCTCTGAGGTAGTCGCTGGTCTAGAGTCTACACAAGTACCTACACTAGCAACAGGCAACTGAGCAAGACTAGCACCTAAGCTAACAACACCAGAGTAAACAGAGTCAGAAACACTAGAGTCAACAACAGCATACATAGCATGAGGAGCACTAATCAGGTCAACTAACTGCTCAGCAGACATGCCCCACAGAGCGGAGCCGTAGTGCTGAACCAGAGGAAGCCAGTCAGGAGCAGGACCGCCAACCCCGTAGGTCAACCGGACCGTGTCAGTGAGCTGAGCAAAGCACTGACCAGGGGGGTGAAAGCGGCCACAAGGGTGGCCCCGACGAGGACCTGTCTGAACCTGGTAGGGGCAGGGAGGGTAAGCAGCACCGCGCTGGGGCTGACGCAGCCCCGACCCCGGAGCCAGCTGCTGACGCTGCTGCTGCTGAGGCTGCTGGGAGGAAAGGGGCTGCTGCTGCTGCTGCTGAAGGTGCTGCTGACGCTGAGCCTGGTACCACGCCGCTGCTCCACCTAGCGGGGCCGGCAGTACAGGAGGCGACTGACGAGCTCGGGGGTCGCCGCCACCAGTAGGTGCAGTGGAGTCACCAGCCGCTGCACGAGGGGTCTCTCCAGACGCTGCACTCCCACCACCGCCAGTCGCAACAGCACCCCCACTACCTCCGCTACCTCCGCCTCCACCTCCACCAGAACCACCTTTCTTGCCCCCCCTGCCGCGGGACCGCGACGCAGCCGTAACAGCAGCCGCAGTCGTGTCAGTAGCGGCAGTGGCAAGAGAGGCAGTGAAGGTGGGTAACTGCGGGACTGTGCACCCGTGGAAGAGTGGGGGGGACACAGTACCGGAGGCGGCAGCTACCGAACGAAGGTTGCTCTCGACGTCCTTGAGTGCAGACTCAAGGACCTCGATAGTCAGCTCACTAGGGTGCTTCAGCAGAAGCGCGTCACGAACGGAGGCAAGGCGGTCAGGGAGGCTAGTGGCGATGAAATAGACAGTAAACGCCATGGGGGGAGGAAGCAGTGCAAGCTGTGCCTCAGTGCAAGCAGCGCGGTAACTAGCGTCGAGCGAGCGGAGGTGAGCGATCAAGTCAGCAGAGCGCTCAAACGAGGCAAGATCAGGAAACAGGAACGGGAGGAAAAGACGGCCAAGAGAGACAGTAGCGGGAGTAGAGTAGCGGGCCTTAATCGCAGTGAGGTACGCAGCAGCGGTGCGAACCTGAGTAAAGTGGACCTCCTCGGACTCAGGGAGGAGGCTGCTGAGTGCGATGCAGGCCGCAGCGTCACGCGACGTCCAAGCCGTCCGGTCAGCGCGCTGACGGGCAAAGCGAGCCGTAGCAGCGTCGTCAGGAGCAGGGCCTAAAGCGGTAGGCTCGGGGGGCTCGGGGAGGTCACCAGTAGCGTGTGACCAGAGGGTCTCGCCCCCCTGGACCTGACTCTCTAACAGACGGCGAGCGCGAAGAAGCCAGACGGAAAAGTCAAGGGGTCTACCGTCAGCGTCGAAACGAAGAACTCGCGGAGTCGCCATAGTGAGAACGAACGCGAACGAACAGGCGAGTAACAACCGGGGGGGGAAGAGGACTCAGTCGCAGCGGAAGAGCGAGCTAGGGCGACGGGGCAGGACGTAGGGTAGGGCAACGGGCCAGGGCCTAGGGTAGGGCGACGGGCCAGGGCTTAGGATAGGGCGACGAGCCAGAGTCTAGGGTAGGGCGACGGGCCAGGGCTTAGGGAGGGGGACGGGCCAGGGCGTAGGGTAGGGCAACGGGCCAGGGTCTAGGGTAGGGCGACGGGCCAGGGCTTAGGGAGGGCGACGGGCCAGGGCGGAGGTCAGGGCGACGCGACGGGGGAAAGGGCGGGAGCGACGCGACGGGGCAGGGCGACGCGACGGGACAGGGCGACGCGACGGGGCAGGGCGGCGCGACGGGGCAGGGCGACGGGACAGGGCAGGGCGACGCGACGGGGTAGGGTGACGCGACGGGACAGGGCGACGGGACGGGACAGGGCGACGCGACGGGGGGGGAACAGGCGGGCGCGACGCGACGGGGGGAACGGGCGCGACGCGACGGGGGGAACGGGCGCGACGCGACGGGGGGAACGGGCGCGACGCGACGGGGGGGGAACAGGCGCGACGCGACGGGGGGAAAGGGCTCGGCGCGACAGGGGGGGAAAGGGCGTGACGCGACGGGGGGAAAGGGCGCTAGGCTCGGTACTAGGCGCGGTAACCACGGAACTGGTACGAACGAGAGGTAGGATCAGGCTCGGGAGGTACGAACGGAGAACGGAGGAACGGGATCCCACAGGATCCTAACCTAGCTGATACCATGTCAGAATGAGAAATGGTGGTTCCATTGATGTTGGTTGGGGTACATATAACAAACCCTAACTTCTGTACCCCCTAAGACAAACCTCACTACAGGCTACAACATTTGACACATTGCCATCATTCTCTCCGCGAATTTTCTCAGCCAAGTCCAGGCCGCAAGCAAGATCCAGGCAGCACATGTATTAGTTATATAATGCTACATGATCCCATGGTGCTATCAGACAAGGACATGTACACTCGAGTTCTATATTTGGCAGGGTCCTTCTCTTCCATTGGATTGGTGCAGTATTCCTCAAACATGAGGCTGCCTGGATACTTCCCCTGTGAGCGAATCCATTCACAAAGAGCCTTATAAGTGTCCCCCAGTCTCTGGTACGGCCCTATGTGCCACATGGCTGCTGCCTCTACATCGGGACGGTTCACCACTATGATGCCGTTTGCAGAATCTTCAGGAACTGAACGTTTGGGTTTGTGGGGATGAGGAGTCAGGGCAGGGCGGAAATCAGTCAGTTGCTGAAATCAAGCAGGAGATTTGCGAGGTTCCAAACTGACCCCAGTGAAGGAAAGCAGAAAGCTTCTTGACATATCCGAAATGGTTGAAGGGATAATCTGAACGTTACGTCACGAGGAACTTGCACCTGTATTGTCCGGCGAGGAGAGCTTGAAGGGAATGCCGAGCTCCATGCGGGTGAGGAGAGGCGTGAAGAAGTAGTAGATGCAGTAGGAACGACCATCCCTCTCCGCTCCACTCTGTCAGAAACATTAAACGAGGTGAGGAATGTGACAAGCGGTTCACGCAGTCATTATTTGAAGGAATTCGGGAAATGGGATGGCAGAGAACGGAGAGCAGGACTCAAGAGGCAGCCGTGCGAGACAGCTACACGAGTTTGGACGTCAATGTTGGTTTAGGGAGGCATGCAAGAAGCCGCCGTAGTAGAAGATCATCAATGCATGGTTGGTGCTGAGAACGGAGCGATACGGAGATAACAAGGCGAACAGCACTTCCATCGACCGTGACTGAAGCGGCGGGCGGCATTGCTGGGAAACACAACATAGGATGTAGCATTGCGGCGCGCAGATCGGTTCAAGGCGGTTCACCTTCTTCAAATGGGACTCGAGCATTGGGTAGGTGGTGCTGCATTCCTGGGCGATACCGGACGGATGCACCGTTGCGCGCCGAGCGACCGCGGTGCCTTTCGGCAAGCTCACGAATTCGGGAACTCCTGATGCCACGTCAGAAACTTCTGCCTCTCCAGACATGCTTGCAATTTCGCCCCGCCGAACGGAATGGGCCGTGAAATGATTATAACGAGGTGATAAGCGAGCGCTTCCTCAAAACTCTAAAAGTACGTGCTGCTGAACTAATTAGCAGGCTCCGTAAAACTTCTAGGCTTTTGAAACAATTTCATTATGCTCCCCGCTTTTCCCACTCGTTTGAACAGCTTGCACTGCTGGGAAGGCAGGCGGCTGAGTGGTTGGGTGAAAAAGGTTGTCACTTCAATGCATTTTGGTAGGATTCTGACCTTGTCAGAACGGTTACGAGAGGTTCAAGTCTGTAACAAGCTCCCGTGACACCCCTCGTTACCTTATCTTCGTCGTCAGCTTCACGGCAAGACAAAGATTCCCTGTTTGCCGCTGACACCGCAGGAATGGGGAGCCAATCGCATTCTCCCTCCGCGTTCTGCTGATCCGTACAGATCCCCGCTCATGAGAGTCTGCTGATATGCTCGAAGTGTACTGCCATCTAAGTCAACTAAACTTGGTCGGTTGATTCTATTGTTGACAATACAACGACAAGAATATGGTATGAAGGATGGCAGGTACCGTATACGAGACACTGATTCACAACATACATGTTGAATATACAAACATAAGATAATACAAATGCTGTTAGATTTTACTGTAGTGTTCCTTTATAAGACTCCCAGCCCTCCAATAATTGTAGAATTATTGGAGGGCCAGAATTATTGGAGTCTAGAATTATTGGAGGGTAAGAATTATTGGCGGGTATAATTGTTGGTATGGATAGGGCCATCCTGAGGGGGTTAGCTGCTGATAAATACCCTGCCCTGTCATTCCAGTGCATCAGTCAACTCCGTTATTCTCATTCTGGTTTCAACCATTCAGGGTCTTCCAGCCTTGCTCTTTCTACAAACTAGCTTCCGCAACGCCGGCATCATGCCTTTCTAGCATGGTATCAGAGCTACTCTAGGGGGCATGCTGCCAAAATTTCGTCAGAACTCAATCATCATCTACATTGGTTAAGAAGATTAGCAAATCTGCACAGCAAGTGGCAACACTTGGTGTGACGGCATGGCGCGGTTCGACGAGGAAGTTGATGCTGGATACGAGGCGTTCGAAGAAGCAATCTTGGCTCAACATGAGCACCTGGAAAACATGATCACAAGGGCACCACCGACACTCCAAGCATCATTGAGAGCAAGATTCAACATGGCAACCCAAGTTCGAGATTTCAACAACCCATCCATCCGTGGACAGTCACATGCAAGCACTCCGCGTGCTAACCAAACCCGCGCTTCAAATGTGGATGCAGAAATTGAAGGTGAAGGGGAAGGAAGCCTACCCCAAGAAGGAGAGTCATCCCAAGGGAGGGATGCATCCTCCCAAGGAGAGGGGAGCTCCCACCCCGAACCTCAACCAACCATGCAAAGGGAAGCAACGGGGAGGGATGATGAGTACGGGAGCGGAAGGGATGTGAGAGAACATGGTGATGGGATTGATGTGGGAAGAAACATGAGAGGTCAGATTGGTGAAGGGAGCGGTAGAAGCACTCATGTGGGCATGGAGGGTGTGGGATTCGAAACCTACACTATTGGTGCTCCCCCACTGCGCCGACTTGCCACTAACTCTCATCCCATTGGAGTTCCCATAATGGGCAGATCTCACCGCTATGGCAACGTCGTACCTCCTCGTGCGCAATGGTCTCAACCGGAAGCTGTACCTGCAGGAAGCATCGGACGCATGGGGCACGGGATGCAATCAAATGGAGTTATGCGACGTGACCAAGTGGAGGTGGTGGAACGTGAGGGCACACAACGCACGGTGCAACTGCCTCGACCATCTACCGTGCCTACGCTTTTCGACCCGTCACCTCGCGAGTACACCGAAGAAGACAAAGACAGGCTGTCACGCAAGATGGTGGGAGCAGCGGTAGACAAGGCGTTCACAACAACCCCGTTTGACGGCACTAACTTTCGAGAGTGGGCTCTTCGGTTTCGCATGAACGCGCGCGTGACAAATCTGTGGGAGTTTTTCATGACATTACGATACCCGGTTACAATGGTGAATGGAGAAATGCAAGATGCAATGGAGCGGCTGGAAACTCTGCAAGCGGATTACTCCCAACGTGCTACGCTGGCTTTTTGGGTGCTTCTACATAGCGTGAGCGCAACAATTCAGCTACAACTGGACGTGTTCCAAGAGTCATACAGTCCGGCACTCGAAGCATGGGAGTACCTGATAGAAACTTACCAGGCGAAGGATTCGGTCGCAAAAGCGTCTCTCCAGAGGCAATTGGACAACCTGAAGATGGGGAGCCAAGAAAGGGTGGAGGAATATATCAACAGAGCAACTGCAATTCGGGACAAGCTGGCAATGGCAGGAAAATTGGTGGATGAAGATTCATTCACTTTGAATCTGATTACCGGGCTGCCGCCGCATTGGGAGGAGCTAAGGCACTCGGCAATGCTACACGACATCTCAGACAGTTACATACTGCAGCGAATGATGATTCAAGAACAACGCTACCAAGACCTCATTAGCAAAACCAACCGTGATAAGCGTCCGCCTCGCATGGCTGGTCAGGCACGTGGAGATACTTCACCAGCAAAGGAGAGAGCTGAGGGCAACCAGAATACGGCAAGGCTAACGGGAGGACAGCATGCGACGGGTGGAGAAAAATTCAAAGGCAACGAAGGAAAGGGGGGGCGGTCAAACCTCGTGTGTTGGTACTGCAAGGAGTCTGGCCACCCGTTCTACAAGTGTCCGAAGGCACCTCCGGGTTGGTCACCACCAGGTTGGGAACCACAAAACAGAGGGAGGACAAATCAACGCACCTGGAGTAGCCGATCTTCTTCGCCTCGAAGGAGTGAAAGCCCGAAACATGACAACCAAGCATCAAAACAGCAAGGGGCGGCTGGGGGAGACAACAAGCGAACCGTTACATGCGTGGCAACGGTTCGATCGTCACAAGCAACATTACCAGCCGCCGTAGGGTCGATGTGGTTGCTGGACAGCGGATGCAGCCAACACATGACTGCAGAGAGGGAGTGGTTTGAGGGATTAGAGGAGTTGACCAAACCTGTTTATGTGGAGCTTGCTGATGGGAGCCATCTCTTGAGCTCGATGGCAGGAACAATTCGAGCAACGGGACCTGATGGAACAACAGTACGTTTCACCGACGTGCTCTATGTCCCCGGCTTGAAGTCCAACCTCCTCTCCTATTGCCAACTGCACAAAAAGGGAGCACGGATTCGCACTCGAGACGACGGACACATCGTGATTACTATGGCTGTTGAAGATGAGCATGTGGTCATTGGGGTTGGGATGATCATGCATGGTGTGCTCATGGTGCAATATGAGCCTGCGCTTGCACCTGCCCATGAATTTGATCATGACCATGAGAATGGTGCATCGCATGAGCATGATCATAATGGGGTGCATACACTTTCTGCTCATGCTTCCATCACTTATCGCATGGCCCACAAGCGTTTGGGTCACCCATCATACACATCCATGGATGCCACATTTCGGAATGGGGATGTCGAAGGACTCACCATATCAGACAAGGTCAACCCCCTCAAACCCCCGTGTGACTCATGCCTTCGAGGGAAAATGAGCAGGGCCCCATTTCCCACAAGTGAAGACAAGCGGACTACTCGACCTTTGGAACTCGTGCATAGTGACATCATGGACTTGGGTGACGCTCACCCCTCCCTTCGCTATGTGCTGACGCTCAAAGACGACTACACCAACTACCTGTGGGTGGCGCCGTTGGCTCGTCGTTCCGACATGGCAGCTGTCTTTTCGACCTGGCACCGCGAGATGAAGACCAAGCTGCCAACGAAGCCTCTGGCTGCCTTGCGCACGGACAACGGAGGGGAGTACACAGCCAATGCGTTCACGGATTACCTGAGTTCTCAAGGCATCAATCACCAAACGTCTTTACCATACACGCCGCAGCAAAATGGAGTCGCCGAGCGGGTTAACCGCACGCTCATGGACCGTGTGCGTGCAATGACTACCGGAGCCAGCCTTTCATCCAAGTTTTGGCCTTATGCGCTGGAGTATGCCGCATGGTTACACAACCGCATCAGCTCCAGCAGCAACCCCTCCGCACACTCACCGTACTTCATGATGACGGGGAAGGCTGCAAATGTCTCCATGGCAAGGACCTTTGGATGCCTCTGCTACTATCTCCCTCCCCAAGGTAGCTTCGGGAAGTTTGAGCAACGAGGACGGGCAGGCATGTTTCTCGGCCTCTCTAACTCACGCAAGGCACGCTCAGCTCGTTTCTTTGACGACCTCATGCTCCCAAACGCCGAATCCCTGCTCGAACGCCAACGGTACATGGATGAAGTCTCACCTCATATCTCGGAGTGGACGTCAGGGGGAGACGGCGTTGGGTCAGCATTTGACTCCTTTCCCGCAGCCCACACTTCCTCCCCATCATCCTCTGACGCCGCTACAGCAGAACAACATGGAACTAAGGCAAATGACACCACTCAAGAAGGCTCACCAGCAGCTAGTGAAGCTGATACAGGAGAAGAGACAACGACAAATGACTTACCGGCAGCAGGCATCTCTGTTTGGGAAGGTGCAGACAACAATGAACCAGACAATGACGCAAGTCATCTCTATGACTTTGCCTACCCACCCGATGGGATCCCGCTGGCGGCTCCTGACGTGCCACCACGGCGGGTTCACTTCAACCCAACGGTCACAGTGCTTGGAGAAGGACAAGGGACGGACAACATGACAGGCCTGGACGTACTGTTTGGGAAGCGACAGGCAGGACTCACAGTCACACGGTTTCCTAACTTGCAGCAGCAGAAAGTACTGGGATGTGCAGCAACCGGCGTCCCCATGGTGGAGCTGACATACAAAGAGCCAAAAACACTTCAAGACATGACCAACGACCCGTACGCACCTCTTTGGCAGGCCGCAGTAGATGCAGAATTGGCCAAGTTCGACGAGCTGGACGCATACGAAGTAGTGGACAGATCGGACGTACCCAAGGGAACACCAGTGTTGACGGAAGGAGTCGTCTTGAGGGTGAAACGTGATGAGCATGGACAACCTAACCGGTTTAAAGCACGCTGGGTGGTCAAGGGATGCGGACAGACATGGGGAACATACGATGGGACGTATGCACCGGTCAGCCAAGGACCTACCTCTCGCTTATTCGTTGCTGGGGCGTCAGCTACGAAGCGCAAGGTGGTGCAACTGGACATTTCTACTGCTTTCCTGTACGCTCCAATCGACCGGGACATATACGTGAGGCCACCAGAACCAAGGCGGGACGGAGACAAAGTCTGGAAACTCAAGAGAAGTGTATATGGGTTGAAACAAGCCCCACGTTTGTGGCATCAGCACTTACGAGGAGTCTTGTTGGAGCTGAACATGGTGCAATCTGAATCTGACCCAGCCTTATTTATCTGGGAATGAGAAGGGAAGGACACAGTGTGGCTACTCACCTACGTTGACGACATCCTCATCCAGTCTCACGACGACGAAGGCATTGAAGCTGTGATTCATCATCTGAAGCGGAACTTTACCTTGACCATCAGCGAGACCATGACGCAGTTTTTGGGGCTCAACGTGGCTGCTGACAAGGACTCGATCTCGCTCGGACTCACAAAATACATCTCACAGGCTTTGGCGACCTTCGGGATGGAGGGCAGCCGTTCCGGAGTTCGAACACCGATCACCAAAGAACCTGGACCACAAGGAGAACCACCGGACGATATTGATGGTCAGCTGGTGCTGAGGCAAGTTGGGACATTGCTGTACATCTCAACGGCGGGGAGACCGGACATCACCTATGCAACACATGTGCTGGCCAGCCAAGCAAGCAAACCAAGAGCGACAACAGTACTTGGAATCCACAGGGTGTTCAACTACTTACAGAACACTGCAGACATGGGGCTCGTCTATGGCGGCGGGGACTTGGTACTCCGCGGATATACCGATTCGGATTATGCGAACGAAGCAGGGCGTCACTCCGTTGGAGGCTACGTGTTTACCTTGGGAGGAGCTGCTGTCAGTTGGAGGACTAAACGTCAAACGGTCATTGCAACATCAACAGCTGAAGCAGAATACATTGCACTGTTTGAAGGGGCAAGGGAAGCTACATACCTTCGCCGCTTGTGTGACGACCTCGGTTTTCGACAGCAAGAACCTACCGTCCTCTTTGTGGATAACCAAAGCGCCATTGCCCTTGCAACCGGGGAGCAGATGAGTCAACGCATCAAGCACATGGACGTACGTTACCATTGGACGAGGAAGGCCGTTCGTGATGGCGTTGTGCGACCGGAGTACTGCCCAACAGCTCAGCAAGCTGCGGACTATCTCACCAAGCCTCTCACAGCAACACAACATCTCACCTGCAGCCGCTTGTGCGGCCTCCAACCGATTCCACCTGGAGAATTGTCTGCCACCAATCAGCAGATTGACGGTGTTGACGCTGCGATCTCCTGTCAAAGCTCTTCAATGGTTGCTGAACAACAAAGCATCCCGTAACTCCACGCATCTCACTCTTGTGTTTGGTGCTATGTGCGTGCTCCGGCATGTGCAGAAATACAAACACACGAGTGAGAGGGGGAGTGGGGTGTGGAGTATCTTGGGGTGCAACCACTCAGGATTTGATCTTACAACCATCTTTTTTGCCATCACACAAGTCAGCACATATGCATCAAGCGAAGACCTACTACAATCCATAACAAGATCAGCCATCCAATTCTGCTGGACAGTCGCTGCTTGTCGATCACAACCACTAGCCAACTGCAACAGCCGTTCCTGAAGACTTCATATGCCTGCTGGTTTCAGGGGGAGAAGAAACAAGTCAGCATGAGTCAGCATGAGGCAAGCAGACAGAAGGAATCACAAGAGGAAGTTGACAAAGTCCTACTAAATACAAGGGAAGTCAGCTGGAGTCAAGCACTACTGGGACTGCTCACCAAGATGACACAGGTGCTGCAGGGCGTCAGGGGGAGCTGCTGCAAGCGACCCGGTGATGCTGCTGGGACCAGTCAGGTGGTGCTGCTGGCACGGTGATGCTGCTGCCACCAGTCAGGTGGTGCTGCTGGCAGACGTTTACAGAAGCAGCCGCCATGAACAGAAGCAGCCGCCAGGAACAGAAGCAGCCGCCAGAAACAAAAGCAGCCGCCAGGAACAGAAGCAGCCGCCAGGTGCTTGCGTACCAGATGCAGCTACCTCCGGGCGTCACCTGGTATAGGGGGAGCAGCACAGGGTCATGGGGAGCAGCACAGGGTCATGGGGTGCAGCACAGAGTCACGGGGAGCAGCACAGGGTCATGGGGTGCAGCACAGAACAAAAAGGGTAAGATGGGTTTCACAGACAGATTCAACAAAGCATTCTCACCTCGGCAGGAAGGAGAAAGCCGTGCGCTGCCAAGAGTAGCAGCAGTGGGCCGCCAGGAGTAGCAGCAGTGGGCCGCCAGGAGTAGCAGCAGTGGGCCGCCAGGAGCAGCAGCCGTGCGCCACCAGCACAAGCCGCCACGTGCGATGTAATGCAGCGGCGCGCATGCTGCTGCAGTCGTGCGCCAGCCGCTGCTGCCGATCGCCACGGGCGCCATGAACAGCAGTCGCGCGCAAAGAGCTGCAGCGCGCAGGTTGTCAAGCGAGGAGGTCACGGCAGCCGCGCGACAGGAGCAGCAGTCGCGGATCTGGCCGCAGCTGCAGGAAACGCGCATCCGGCGCTGCAGGTCGTCACTGTCACCGAGCGCCAGCCATGACATGGCGAGCGCTGGTGATGCGCGCTAGCTGCACCTGAAGGACATCACGCCATGGCGCAGCACAACGGACACCAGAAAATCGTCGCGACTAAAGCAGCAGTCGCGCGGCAGCAAAGGAAATCGGGTCAACACTAGAAGGCGAGAAAAAAAAAAAAAAAAAAAAAAAAAAAAAAAAACAGCGCGTCATAGGAAGAAGCCGTGCGCCATGAAGATATTCGCCAGCAGCAGCTATCCTAAGACCAAGGGAGGCAATCCGCCCTGCTGCAGGGAATCGGGCTGACCTAAACTGTCAATTCACCGCGCTAGCAGCAGCCATGGCTTGAGAAAACGTCACTAGCAGATCTGGAGTTGGAAGGAGCTTGGAGTAACAAGGAGCGAGAAATTGAGGCAGAATGACCAGCTTCGAGAGAACCCCTGCGGATTGAGGGGTGTGGGAGAAACAGCAGCCGTGATAGGCGACAAATTGAAACAAAGGCGTGACAGGGTGGACGGTGCACACCTGACGAGGATCGTGCGGAATTTCGCTACACGACATCTTTGTTGGGCTGAGAAGCCCTTAAGGATCTTTGCAGAGGATAACTCTGGGTAGGATACTTTGTAATAGCGGAAGCGTTTAATGAAGCTTTGTGAACCGACCTTGCACTAGTGTGTGAGAGCAAAGTAGATTGAATTATAGTGAAAGGATACAAGCTTATATAATAATACAGGGAATATGAAGAGATACGGTTATAACGGCTTTTATTGTTGCTGTTGCGGTTCGATACAGTGCGACTCGGGCAACTGCTCTGTAACGAGTCAGTTGTGTGTCCTTAACTGTCGCGCTGTTCTTGTCAGGTCAAGGGTCAGCGACCTTTGACTTTCGCGTAACTTCCTGTAGCCGATTCAACCTCCGAGGGTTGACTCGCAGGTGCTTCGGTGTAGGTTGCCTCGCTTCTGGTGCAATGTTTCGACACTGCTGAAGCGTTTAAGTTCCATTGTTTCCAACACTCCCCTTTGCTTCTGGAGTGTCGCTGCTGGTGACGTGGCTCTGTCCAGTCAGCAGTATGCAGTATTCGAACTTCTGCTTTCCGAGCTTCTTGGTCAAGTAATCGGCTGCCATCTCAGACGTGGGACAGTATGACAGTTTGAGTTTCCCTTTCTCGATCTCGTCCTTCACGAAGAAATAGCGCAGGGCGATGTGTTTCGTCCTGTTTGCAAAGCCGTTCTTGTTGGCGATGCGAATTGCTGACTGGTTGTCGCAGAACACGGTGAAGCTGGGTAACTCGGCTAACTTCGCTTCTTCCAGCAGTTCGCGAAGGTAAAGTCCCTCCTTGGTGGCTGAGCAGAGTGCGATATATTCCGCTTCAGCTGAAGACAGTGCGATTAACTCCTGCTTACTCGACTGCCAGGAGATAGGACCGATAGGCTCGAGGCGGTAGACATAGCCGGTGCGTGAGCGCCTGTTATCGGTGTCGCCGGCGTGATCGGCGTCGACGTAGCCGATTAGCTTGGTCGGTGTAGTTGCGTTTTTGTGATAAGTTAGTCCGATCGTCGCGGTGCTGACGAAGTAGTGGAGAGCGCGATCGAGTTCCGCCAGATGCTCTGCTTCAGGCTTCTTGAGATAGGTGGCGAGCTGACTCGCGGAGTAGGATAAGTCGGGACGGCATGTGACTGCTGCGAAGAGAAGACACCCGAGCTTCTTCTGATAGTCGCGTATGCCGGTGGGCTTGAGTAGAATAGATCGTTCCTTTTCGGTTCCTGACGTGTAGCGGTAAGGCGTGGAGAGGGCGCTTGGTGTGAGACCGAAGCGTTTCGCAATGGTGTCGGCGTACTTCTCGGCGCTGAGGTAGATCGCGTCCTTCCCTTCTCGGATGTTGAGTCCGAGATATTGCGTGACGGTAGATGAGACGGTGAGGGTAAGATCCTTCTGCAGCTCCCCTTCGAACCACGTGGCGATGTCGTCGGTTGACCCGATGTAGAGGAGATCGTCCACGTAGATGATCAAGAGAACGTAGTCGCTTCCCTTTGTGAGGCGGTACATGCCCTGGTCATGCGGGAGTTGTTTAAAACCGATGCGGATAAGGCGGGCGTGCAGGTACTGCTGCCACAGTCGCGGTGCCTGCTTGATCCCATAGAGCGACTTAAGCAGTTGACAGACTTGGTTGGGTTCACCGTGGGAGCCGTGCGAGAGCTCGACGAAGATTTCTGCATCCACAGGTGCGTAGAGAAATGCGTTTGCGACGTCGATTTGTCGCAGTTTCTTTTTCTTCATGGCGGCGATGGCGATGAGGATTCGGAGTGAGGTGTGACGGCTGACCGGAGCGAAGGTTTCGGTGTAGTCTCTTCCGTGCTCCTGGTCAAAGCCGCGCACGACCCAGCGAGCTTTGAATTTGTCGATGGTGCCGTCAGCTTTCGTCTTCACACGAAAGACCCACTTCCCGGTAAGGATAGTCTTGTTTTGTGCTACGCCGATGGGAACGATTTTCCAGGTGTTGCGCTCCTTCAGTGCCTTCAGCTCTTTGTCCATGGCTTCACGCCATTTCTCCCTATGTTCCCCCCCCAGAGCCTGTTGAACCGTCGCAGGCTCTTTAGGAGTGGTGGCGCCATGGACTGCGGTGACGAGTCCAAGGATTTGGAGGCCACTCTGTGTGTAGCGGGGGAGTGTGCCGGGGAGAGTGTTGTCCTCGGGATAGGCTGCTTCGTCTCCTTCTTCTGGATCAGTTATGAAGTTTGGTCCTATGCGTTCAGCTTCGTCGGTGTTGACTCTTGCAGGTGTTACGTAACCGTTGTCGGCGAAGTGGTAGTAGGTTTCGGCGTTGTTACTGTCGCGCGGGATTTCGTCATCCATGGGGACGTTGACGGAGCAGTACGGGAGTGGTCCGGCTGCTTCCGAGGCTCCTTCCACGTTCTGCTCGTCCCAGTCAGCTTCGTCTTCTGCCGATGCGAAGGCTCGGTTGCCACGGAAGCCACCTGTGGGGTCTCGGTTCTCGTCCAGGTTGGCAAGATAAGTTTGCATGGTGAGTCGTTCGTAGAAGATGATGTCACGTGCTGCCACTGTTTCCTTCGTGTGGACGTCAAAGATTTTCCATGCGTTGTAGTATTTTTCGATGCCTAGGTGTAGCCCCCACTGTGCTCGTTGCGAAAATCGGCCGGCCCGTGCAGATGGTGGTCGGTACTGTACCATGCACCCAAAAACTCGTAACATTTTTGTGTTGCCCAATTTCCCGGTCCACAGCAGATGCGGTGATGCGTTGTTCGGGAGTGACGACGAGGAGAGCAAGTTGTGGAGCATTACAGCGTGGTCCATCGCTTCTGGCCACTGGTGGTTGGGAAGCCGCATGCCACGTAATACTGTAGTTTCCGCATGGTGTTTTGGAGGGTCCTGTTCAGCCTTTCTGCTACACCCTGTTGTTGATGGGCGTAAGGAAGGGAGATGAGGCGCTTGATGCCTTTCTCAGCCAGGTAGTTCTTGAACCTCGTCGAGGTATATTCTCCTCCTCCGTCTGTTTGGAAGCTTTTTAACTTGACGCCCGATTCCCGCTCTGCTACGGGAAGCCACGCGACGAACGCTTCGAACGCCATATCTTTGCTTGGGAGATTCAGGTGCCAGACGTAGCGTGTTGCGGCGTCGATGAAGGTAATCGTGTAGAGGTACGTATTCTGCCCTGGTTCACGGTTGTACAGGATGTCGCTGTACACCTTTTCGAGTGGTGTGTAAGCTGGTGCACTTGGGTTGTGGTGCGATGGGAACGGTTGATGAGGTAGGTCTCCTTCTGGGCAGGTGAAGCATGTGCCGCGTACGCGTTGGAGTTCTTGTCCGTTGGTTAATAGGAGTGAGTCTTTGTCGAGCACTCCTGCTCGTATTGTGTTGTTTAACACTGTGTTGCTTGGATGTCCCATTCTTGCGTGCCAGGTTGCTTCCTCGGCACGGTGTCCGGGTGATCGTCGATACAGATCCGAGTTGGAGTAGAAGCTAGCGGTGAAGTTGGGGCTGTGATGAAACTCTCGTGGTGCTGGCTGAAACGGTTGTGCAGGTGTCGGTGATGCGTCGTCAACGAGGACTGGTGCCGTTGAAGGACCAGCGACTGGTGTTGTTGTTGGTGCCGTTGTTGTCTCTGCTGCTGCCGATGTTGTTCCTGCTGCTCCCGATGTTGTCTCTGCTGCTGCCGATGTTGTTCCTGCTGCTCCCAATGTTGTCTCTGCTGCTGCTGACCGTTGAATTGTTGCTAGTGCTCTTGTTCGCTCTGTCTCAGGGATGGTATGCGAATACCAGAAGCCGCCCGGACTGAAGTCAGGGTCAAGGTCCGGAGGGTGTGTCCAGTTGGTGAAGTTAACTATGGCGTCACTGTCGGCGGTGCCAAGATCGGGAACGAAGTCCAAGACGAAGACGTTGTTCTTGAGGACCGCCTTCCCGATGTAGAGACCTCCTCTCCCATGGTACTGTCAGATGATTATATTGCTGATGCATATATTTAGGCTGTAGTGGGGTAGCCCATAGGGGGTACAACCCAATTAGGGTTGGTACTTGTACTTGTTTCATTTCATAGTGCACACATTCTCTCTCTAATCTCAACATGGTATAGAGCGGGTCCTTCCTAAGGACCATTTTTTTTAAGGGCCCACCCACGAAATTTTCGCTGCCCGGAGCGCGCCCTTCTCTCCCCGAAGCGCGCTCCCCCTAGTCCTTCTTGCGCTGCCCTTGTGGCCCCCGCGAGTCGCGCGCGCGACCTTTTTTTTCGCGCGCGCGGCCCGGGCCACGTCGCGCTGGCCTTATGGCCGCGTTGCGCCGCCCTCGCGGCTCTGCTGCGTCGCGCCGCCCTCGCGGCCCCCTAGCGCCGCCCACGCGGCCCCGCCGTCCCCTTCTGACGGCCCCGCCGTCCCCTCTGCCGGCCCCGCCGCTGCACCCGACGGCCCCGCCGTCCCCTACCGACGGCCCCGCCGTCCCCTCTGCCGGCCCCGCCGCTGCTTCAGACGGCCCC